TTGGGAATACTCTCTTGAATGGAAGCATACCTGGCATATACAACTGCACTACTTTGTTAGAACTCAGCCTCATCCTTAACAATCTCACTGGTACAATCCAGTCAAACATCGGTGATTTAGTTCATCTTCACTATTCTGCCACCAGCAACCAAATTCCCACCCACCCTCTCTCTCTCTCTCTCTCTCTCTCATTATAAAAGAAACTAAACCACTTGAGCTCAACTCATGTTTAGCTTGTTAGTTTTTCAAGTCAAGCTTGAACAAGATACTACTTGGCTCAATAAGATTATATGCATTATAAAAATAATAATAATAATAACACCAAACTATTTGAGCTCAGCTCATTATGGTTCGATTAAAGTTCAATTGTGATCCACTCGAACCAAAAAAAAAATCAAGATTGAACACATTTTGAAGCACATTTACAGCCATATCTCTTGCTCCTCAAACTGAGGAGCAAAAGAAATTATAAACCAAGAAAACAGTGCCTCAAATCATTAATGAATGTATCCTCACATCTTGCAACCAGAATCCAAAACAAATAAACAAATACAGGCTCATGAGACAAACAAACAGATAGATAGATACAGGTATTTTTATATTCTCATGTATGGAGAGAGAGAGAGAGAGAGAGCATCCAAGTAGTAAAATGAAGCAAACACTAAACTATTAGCCTTTTCAAGTTAAGACTACTACAACTTTTTGTATCCACAGTTAAATAGAAGACCATAATTAGTATAATACATGTACATAGGGAGTCTCGGCTAGCAAACTTGTCTCACGAAAAAAAAAAAAAGAAGTGTTGCAATGGGTGCATAAGGGAAAAAATCCCCAGAAATGGTTCCTACCAAATAAGTGGCAAAGGGACATTTCTCTACAACTACTCTTATATTTCCACAAAATATTACACATTTGACCACCAAGTTGGTCATCTAAATTTAAAAAATAAAAAATAAAAAATAAAATCCAAACTGATAAACATCACACACGGTTCAACAAAAAATGTCAAAGATAAACAACAAATAATCTTGTCCTACTATACTTGTTGCTTGCATTTAAGGCATGTAACATTAACTTATGCAATCCTAAAAAAATTTACAAATGAAAGCTTAACCATCAAATGTTAGTTTCAAGAAACAAGTATTGTATTATTGATCAACATAATACTTCAAAAATGTGTGTGTGGGTGTGTGGGTGGGTGTGTGTGTGGGTGGGTGGGGGTGTGTTTGTGTGTGTGTGTGTGAGAGAGAGAGAGAGAGAGAGAGAGAGAGAGAGAGAGAGAGAATATACATACACATGTCAAAAATTAAAATGCATTAAAAATAAAAAAAATGCGTTATTTCTATTTCCAACGAGAAAGACCTCAAATGAGCTATTTTCCAGAGGATAAAATCATGCACTTCTTAATTCAAGAAATGAACTGCCACGAAATATCTCATTCATATCCCCTACAAAAAAAAATTAGCTAAAATCTCAAGAAAAACAAAATGAAAAATGCCAATTCAAAAACAATCAAAGAGCAATATCTCTAACTAAGCAACATTATACAGCACTAAAAACAGACTATACAGTAGAATTGCACATATATGTTTCACCAAACTACATTAAAATGTACCTCTCTATTTGTTCCTCAACAATAACCTTGTCCCCAAAATGTTTGAACTGCAACAATATTATACAAATCACCATAAACAACAGAGCGAGCAACAAACTTGTCATTAAAATGCATTGTTACTAAATTGATCTCCATAGAGCATTTTTCTATTATTTTAACTTGTTTTCATTCCAATTCAATTTGCAATGGTGAATATAACAAATTCTTCTCAATAACAATCCAATACCTCAAATTCACCAAATGCCTGCAGTCTATCCAAAATCTGGAGAGAGAGAGAGAGAGAGAGAGAGAGAGAATATACATACACATGTCAAAAATTAAAATGCATTAAAAATAAAAAAAAATGCGTTATTTCTATTTCCAACGAGAAAGACCTCAAGCGAGCTATTTTCTAGAGGATAAAATCATGCACTTCTTAATTCAAGAAATGAACTGCCACGAAATATCTCATTCATATCCCCTACAAAAAAATATTAGCTAAAATCTCAAGAAAAACAAAATGAAAAATGCCAATTCAAAAACAATCAAAGAGCAATATCTCTAACTAAGCAACATTATACAGCACTAAAAACAGACTATACAGTAGAATTGCACATATATGTTTCACCAAACTGCATTAAAATGTACCTCTCTATTTGTTCCTCAACAATAACCTTGTCCCCAAAATGTTTGAACTGCAACAATATTATACAAATCACCATAAACAATAGAGCGAGCAACAAACTTGTCATTAAAATGCATTGTTACTAAATTGATCTCCATAGAGCATTTTTCTATTATTTTAACTTGTTTTCATTCCAATTCAATTTGCAATGGTGAATATAACAAATTCTTCTCAATAACAATCCAATACCTCAAATTCACCAAATGCCTGCAATCTATCCAAAATCTGCTCCATTGGAGCCAAAAAATCCTATAGCAAATCGGCCTATTAGAATCGATTCAACAAGATGTTCTATACAACAGTTGATTCTTGCATGCTTGGTTTTTAGATTATATATCTATATCTGTATATATATATATATATATATGCAATGTGAGCAATTAGAACAGAACCTTGAAGAGCGTTTGAGCATGCTTGGCCAGGGCAAATGTAAATAAAAGAAAATAGGAGAAATAAATGGGGGCAAATATAAAGCCCACTCATAAACTGGACCTTTTACCACCTCTGACTTGCATCTCATAATGCTGTCGCAAATATATTTTTTGCCACGGCCAAACAGACGGTCGCAAAAAAGAAAAAAAAAGAAAGACGCAAAAAAGTCAATTTTTTAGTAGTGCTCTTAATGAAAAAACAATACCAACTACTAAGGGATTCAAATTCAATATGTAGTCCTCTCATGGTCCCATTTGCCATTCAGCACATCACCGATGACCTCCTCTAACGCTTTTCCTTTAACTACATCCTCCAATTTTATTCATTCAAAAAAAACAGCATCCTGCAATTCCAAATAAGGAAAACCCATAAATAAGACAAATTCTAGTGAAAGTTTGTAGAAAATACAACTAATTAAGTACCCTCATTACAATGTTGCCCCCAAATGGGCACTCCTGTCAAAACCAATCTTCTATAACTTCCTAACCTTCTTTTGTTTTTCTTGTTCACAGCTTATTCCCATCATAAGCTCTGCCACAGAGCCCTTGATATCTGACAAGTTGAATGTTTTCATGATATGTTTTGATCAATGATCATTGATGAATTGTAATGCCAAAGTGTAACACTAATGCTATCATACATGTACCAAAATGAATGGTTATTTAAGATGCCATGTGGGGCTAAAGAGTGCCACGTGCCAATTCATGTCAATAATTTGGACGACAGTTGGGAATTGGGAATGATCATATAGTTTAGAGACCAAATTGGGAAAAATAAACTTTAAGGGCAAGGTAAGAATTCAATAATACTTTACGAGGACAAAATATAATTGCATATATAGAGAGAGAAAGAGAGAGGGAGAGAAAGAGAAACCTGAGCAGAAGAAAGCACTTCTGGTGAAAAGTGAACATATCGTTGACTACCATAAACTGCAGAACTAACATCAAAACCACTGCCAACTTTCCCTTTTCCAATCTCACATGATAAACCCCACCTAGAAGCATTGAAAACCTACACAGTTCAATCCGTTAAACTTTGGCTTGCTATAAACATTGGCCTATGGAAACATCTCAAGTATAATAACGTGCAAATTTGTAACAATACATTAATGATATAGATAAGATGATTCAAAAAATCACTTTCATTCTAGTAGCTCAGAAAGCATAATCATTATAGTAGATGTTTCAATTGTAGTAAAAGAGAAAAAACATGATAGGCAAAAAATATGAGCAAATAAACACCACCAAAGATCAAATAAGTTAAAGATTTTAAAAGTACAATAGGAAAGGTACAATACCTGATTCCGATATGAATAGAAGTCATTGCAACCTAAGATTGTAATGTCAAGACCTGCATGAATAATCCAGTTGAGACATTAGATATTTACAATTACTTAATTTTAATAAGAAAGATGAAGCATCAAACATTACCTTGTAAAAGTAGTTTGTGTAACAAATCCTTCTTATCCTTTTCCAATGTCGCAAGGGCTGCAGCTACAGCATATTGCACTGCATATTCTACAAAGGGGTTTCTTGATTCACATAGATTTTAAGCCAACACTGATAAGCATCACCTCAAGCCAATATACCATTTATTTTCCCCATTATTTGAATTTAGTTATTAAGACGAGAGAAACCACTAAAAATAATTCTTCTTCAGAAGACACAAATGTGGATTGCTTGGTAGCTACTCTTCTTGCCGTGGCTAGTCCCACAGAAGACACAAATCCTCTTGAACTTGGATTGCTTCATTTCATTCTCTCTACATCACTCGTCCTAGTAGCAATATCAATAGAAATTCAAGCTATATGTAAAAAAATCTTTGCAGAACATCAGGGAAAGTTTTCGTCATACTTTCAACCTAAAATGTGAATTTAGGACCTATTTATAAATCCAAAAATTATGTTCTACATTTAATTGAAACAACCTTCAAGGTCCTAACTTGGCTTTATTACTGCTTATTACAATATACAATGTCAAATAAATTATATATGGCCAACATACATATAGTCTATTCACAAGTTTTGTATGAACCAGCCAAAGACCATTCACAATCTAAAACTTCAATGATCTATAAAATGGTATATTAAGTTTTATGAGATTTGTAGTTTCATTTGAAGAGCTCACTGCAACTAGATTTATTGTGGAAGCAAGAAGAATTTTATTATTATTATTATTGTCAGTGATATTTATACTAATATTTTATTTTTATCTGATTACACCTAGGTAGGAATAAATTCTCTATTGCATGCAGGTAAAGTAAAAGCTATCATTCTATATGGATTGCATCCAGAGAGTAAGGTCACTAATTAAGAATGAGGCAAAGGAAAACGAAAACACACAAGTATATCAAAATTTTCCTTTTCTTTTCTTGTTTTCCGCAATTTCTAAGCAACCAAACAATGCGTAAAAGGAATCCGTGCACCAGATTCGATTCCTCAAGAGATACTGAAATTAATAGTAGCCGAGAGAGATTCAAAGCAGATAAAGAAAAGAAAAATACCAGTAGAAAGATTCAAAGAAGATTCAATTACTCCTTCAACTGTATTCAATTTCATACAAAACTAGGGCCAAAATTTTTATTTTTCTTCCAGAATTGACAATATGCTTTCAAACCAGAGAGAGCGCAAGCTGCGCCGGAGGCTCGAGGCGCGGCAGAGGATTCGTCGACGGACGGTGATACGTAACATTTTATTTATTTATTTATTTTTTAAGCAGTGAAAAAAGGGTCGTGCCGGATGGCCTCAAATCAAGCAGGTGCAGTGCGGCCATGGAAAGCTAGGTTGTTTGTCATATATTTGTGGGTGTGTCAGGGGTTATTTTTAGAATTTACTATTTACATATTTTTAAGAACTTATTTATAGGTTTTAATGTGGAGATTTTTTTAAGAACTTATTTATAGGTTTTAATGTGGAGATTGTCTAATTGGTGTTATGATAATTAACGCATTTTTTTATTAATTATTATTAAAAAAATTGTCATTAATTGTTAATTTTTAATGATTTTGTGAAAAATTTGTCATTAAAAACGTTACTAATTTATAAGTTTTAGCGATAATTTAAAAAAATTGTCACAAAAATGTCACTAATTTTTAATTTTTAGCTATAATTTAAAAAATTTATCATAAAAAGTCCCTAATTATAAGTTTTAGTGACAATTTATAAAAATTGTGACAAAAAAAATCACTCATCGTCAATTTTTAGTGATATACACAAGAATCGTCACAAAATTATTTGACGATTTTAGTAGGGTTAACTTTCAATAGGACTTAAGTCTCGTTTAGGAATATGCTATTTTAATAATTTTTTATTTTTTTGCTAAAATATGAGTTAAAAAAAAAAATTGGTTTGGTTTTGAGAAACAAATTTTGGAGAAATTTTTTTAAAATTTTGTTTGGTTTAGTAATTTTGGAAAAAAATTTCCAAAATCACTTTCTATTTCATACACATCAATCAATTATTTTTTCTCTCTTATCTCTCCTTCTCATTCATTTTTTTCTCATACACATCTACTCAACTACAACAAAATATCAAATCATCCCAAACTCCAATACTCCAAAACTATTTCCAAAATATACAACCAAACAAATCAAAAAAATATCTAAAATCTTTCCCCAAATTTTTTTTTGAAAATTTATCTCCCAAAACCAAACTTAACAAGGCCTGAATGTTTGGGATAACTTTTTAGTTTTTTATGAAAAGATGTACAAAAAGTAAAGAGAAAAAAAAATCTTTTTTTTTTGTGTGTATAATTTGTTGGTTTTTTTAAATAATTATTTAATTTTTAAACTAAAACGTAATGTTCCCAAACGAGGTCTTAATGGATATTAAGTCTAGCTATTATGATGTATTGATAATTTATCTTTTAACAACTATTTGGCTAAGACGGTGGCCAATTTATATGGATTGTTGACCTATGTTTTTGGGTAGGCTAGATGTAAAACAAATTCAACATTGCCACTTCTTGGATCTACTTATTAATTAATATGTGATTAAAAAAAAAGGTCAAAATTTGATGTGGTTGAATACTCAACATCTTGGGTCAAATACAAAGTGACTTATAGAATACTACTTTTACCACATGTTAATTAAGAAGTAGAAAAATACATTATGCTGTCTTAATTATGCACCCATTATTAGAGGCGGAGGGAAGGAGGGGGTTAGGAGGTGTCTTGGCCTGCTACTTTGCTAGGATTGTTAGGATATGTGTGTGATTTATATGAGTTATGTGTTGCTTAATTGCATTTGGCCCTCCCAACTTTTTTTTTTCAATTATTTTTTATTACTTATATACTATATTTTGTAGAATAGTTATGAGTTTTTGTAATGTTAATACAAATTATTATACTTATGTTACGAATGGATGCACCACAAAAAAAAAAAGTTTTAGTTACAAATTATTAAAGTTATATAATGATTATGATTATGTTATGAATACTTAAAATTAGAACAAATATCATTTTATCCCTCAAAGTATCACGCGTTTTTCACGTTGACCCCTATACTTCGATTTATTTCAATTTAGTACATGAACTTTTTACAAATTGATCAATTAGACCCTTCTCGTTACCTTCCGTCTACAATTGGACGGAATGTGCTAACGTGGCACCAAAGTTCATTTAAAATTTCATTTTACCTCCCAAACTATACCTTAAAAATCAATTTACCCCCCAAATTAAAAACCAACTTCCCTCCCAAACTATACTTTAAAAATCAATTTGCCCCCCACATCAGCACATTTTGTCCAATTGTGGACAGAAGGTGACGGTAGGGGTCTAATTGATCAATTTGTGGAAAGTTCAGGTATAGCGATCCCGGTTGTACCTTTACTGTTTTGTTGTATTCCGGACTCGGTTCCATGGAGTGGTAGTGGTATCTACCTTCTTGTTGTCCTTTAATTCCTTTTGGTTGAGTTTTAGGATGTTTTGAGGAAGGTTGTTACAGGTTGGTTAGGCCTTGGTTTCAATTCCTTGTTGTTCAGTTTTTGGGCGGTCCGCTCGAGCGGGTCTTCTTGCGCTCGAGCGGAGATTGCACACTTCCAGTATTTTCGTGTTCCTGCAAAACTTCTGCAGGTGTGGTTTTTACGCTCGAGCGGGTTTGTTGACGCTCGAGCGGTGACGCTCGAGCGGGTCGGTTGGCGCTCGAGCGGGTAGTACTTTCTGGGTGTAAGTTCTGGGAGGTGGAAATCTGCGCTCGAGCGGACTGGTTTTCGCGCTCGAGCGGATGTGCTTTATTCTTGTGTCTTGGCGCTCGAGCGGGCCTTATTGCGCTCGAGCGTGTCCAGATTTTGTTCTTGACGCTCGATCGTCGTGTTCTCCGCTCGAGCGGGTCATACGTATATGAGTTATCCGCTGGGTGATTTCAAATCACTTTTTGCTTTTCTTTCTCTCTCCTACTTTTTCTAAAACCCATTTTTGAGAGTCTCTCTCTCTAGATACTCCCTTCTCTCTAGGGTTTGATCTAGTTAGAGTGTTCTCCTTCTCTTTGGCCTTTACAAAAGAGTTGTTGATCGTCGGGGACTACGTTTTAATCTGAAAATTTCGGGTTTTGGAGCACGTTGGGTTTTGTCATCTTCTCCTTTGGGGCTCCGAATTTGAGGTAGGGATATCCTACTCCTCTCTATGGACTTTGTCTTTAAATTTTAGTATTTTGAGATGTTGGGGTTGGTTTGGTAATTTTGTGAAAGTTTGGGGCTTTTGTGTAATTTTACAAAAGTTGGGGTTTTATTTATAATAAACCTAGATGCATGTTTGGCATAGAAAAATGGAATAGATGTTGAATCATTGATGGAAATGGAACCTTAAGGGTTGTAATGTTAATTATGAAAAATGACATAATTGTATTGTTTGATTAATTGGGTTAATTAATCGTGGAAAATGGGGTTATGAAATGGAAATGTTGAGATTAGGAATGTATGGGAAAAAGGGTGTAGTTGTATTATTTATCACTCACCGAATTGAAATGTTGATTTAATATCCATTTGTGCATTTACTTTCTGTTTAGAAATAACTGCTTTGGGCTATCGGTGGAGGATAGTCGTGATTGTTGTAGACAATGCATGATGATTAGGCAAACTAAAACTAATCGATTGAATGTGTCATAGAATATGACGGTGGATTGAATACATTAAATTTATGTATTGATTGATTGTACATAGAACCCTTGTGTTTATGTGCATTGTGTGTAGAGGAGGAGATGGGGGATGTACTCCGCGGTTTAGGGGAAGATGGGGGATGTACCTCTAAACCGGATAGTGTTGGGAGAAGATAGGGGATGAACTCCGTAGACATAGCTCATATGCTTGTCTAGAGAAGTGAAGATAGGACTAATATGCTTATCTTTGTGAAATGTGGATGTAGCTTATATGCTTATCTGTGAGTATGGGATATAGTTTTTTAAACATATCTGTTGAGAAGATGATAGAGCTAGTATGCTTATCTGTTGAAAAAGGGAAAATGAAAAGTAACTTGGACTCATAAGTCGTATGTCATGTAATGTGATTTATATGGATGTATCAGTGTTGGCCATCTATCAATTGCTAATCTTTTAGTCATTGTTCATGGTTGGTTTAGTGTATTTCTACTGGGCTGTGGCTCACCCTATATGGGAATATCATTTTCAGGTACAGGTAGCATGCCACCTCCAAGGACATAGCTTGGGAGGCTAGAGGCGGACATACTTTTGTCGTTTTATTTTTGATGTATTACATGTAATTTCAAGCCAAGGGCTTAAAGTGTAAATGAGTAGTACTCTTTGTTGTAACCAAGTGTTAACTTGGAAAGCTGTAAGACCGTAAGGGCATTTGCTTTTGTTGTTAACATGTAATACTTCTGTAAGAATCAACTCTGATTAATAGAAGAATGTGGATATTTTGTATGTCAATGAATGTCTTAATTGATGGTTTAATGTTATTTTTTTGAGGGCGTTACATCAGGTACTAAATTGAAATAAATTGAAGTATGGGGTCAACGTGAAAAACGCGTGATAGTTTGGGGGGGGAAATGATATTTCCTTTACGTACTGTCATGGTGAAAAAAGTTATTAACTATTGTGATTTTGTTACCAATCATTGTAGTGTAGCTTTGAAAGGACATATAGTATACATTTTTAAGAGTGTAACATAGTTTTGCAAGTTTTATTTCCTAAAAAAAAAAAAAATCCAAGTATTTTCATCTTTCATTCATTAGTATGTGACAATTTTAAAATTTTTTATACATTGTGCAATATGTAATTCATTACCATTCATGGACTGTATAAAGTATGTAATATTACTTCAAATTTACATTTTTCTAGCAGTAAATCACTGAAATTGAAATTCATGCAATACATTTTTGTAATTATTTTTTTAGCTTGGTTTTAATAGTGATTTGTTGATTTTAGTCGTCTAAATTGAACTTGATCTAATTGCTTAGACTGTTCTTTTTTGGTCACTCTTACTACTATGACTTATCTCATGATGGGACAAACTATTTCATAAAGTACTTTCTTTTTTGGCTACTCTTACTCTAACAACTTATCTCATGATGGGACAAACAGTTTTTAGGTTGAAACTCGGGATAAATTCGATCAGATTGAAGTCTAGGTGTTCAATTTCATTCTAAAGCATATGAAGATTTGTCTAAATTTTATCCAAACTAATCTCTTATCTTAACTAACTTGTCTAAGCCCAAGTCACTACAATATAATTTAGGAGAAATATCACATCAATAGAGGTTGCAAAAAATAATTACGAATTAATGAGAAATTTTATAAATATTAATAATTAAATTTATAAATTTTTTTTCATGAATTTGTAATTTTTTTTTGACTT